GCGAAATTAAAAAACAAAACAAAACAAACTATGAAGCTAGAGAGAATTAGTGAGTCCAGATAGTTAACGGAGAATGTTTAGAATTTCAATTATTGTACAAACGTCTCCAATGATTAATGTTGAAATTTATAGTGTGTGTGTAAAACAATCTCACAATAATCGTGTATAAGAAGTCGCTTGCTCAACCTTTTACGAAATCAAATATTTGCTAATAAATATGAAGAGAGTTGTAAACAAGTATATAGATTAAAAAAACATAATGATGATGCGTAAAGAAACCCCATTAAATTTGTAACAATTAAGTTTAACCTTTCATATATATATATATATATATTCATCCTACGTTTTGTGTAAAGTATATGTATGTTAATCTCGACTTCGACATTGTATACCAATACATTATTTCGGGAAATCAACTACGCTTCGAGAAATAAATGCTGTACAATGGATACTTTCTACTAGTTATCTTAGAAGCGTTACAATAAAGATAATGTAGCTTATCAAATTCATGTACACGTTTTACCTTCAGCCGAAACACCACCATTCCTAGATGCCGTTTGGCGGGAATCTCAAACCTCTTGTCCGTCAGCACTAAATCCTCCAGCTCTGAAGCTAGTAGAACACCCTAGGACGGGTAAAAAAATCCCGTTATTTTAAAATTTCATGAAAAGCAATTACCTGTTATTATAATCACAAAAAAATTAAAAATTGCAAGAACTCTTTGATATACACATTTTGCTTTTTTTTTTTTTGCCCAACTCAATAATATACATTGGTGGCGTTTTGTTTGAGATTAATGAAACAAAATACTGCATAAATAAAACATATCAAAAGGTAAAGATAATGAAAAGAAAGGTTCATATTAAGTACTTCTAGAAAATATTCGGAAAATATCTTAGATATTAGAAGATTTTAGATATATTTTCCAACATACACCTAAACACATATCTCAACCAAACTTAAAGCATTGAAGGAAGAGAGAAAAACAAATCTGACTTATATTTGAGATTTTATGTGAGTATTTTATTATGCACCAGCATAATGTACACTCGCTCTTCACGGTTCACAGAGACCCCAATGTACCAATTAGGCTCCCCTATTATCTTCAGTTTCTTCTATATCTATCCCAAGAGATTCAGTATCTGAAAAAACCCGTCCGTGCTACCTGACCACGTGTGTCAAGTTTGGCCTAGTTAGTGTCCTCAGGTTCCACGGGGGAGTGGGGGGGG